AACTGATTTCAAAAAGAGATATCGGTACTAACAGCAGTATCGCATGTTACTCATGCAGTTTTCTATTAGACAAAGTCAGTGATATGTCACATGATCAGCTAGTGCCTTTTGTGGAGTTTTGGAGCAATAGTTCAATGAAGGCCTGTAGCAATGCTTTCCCTTTTTCAACAATCCTTTTCCTTGAGCTATCAGCTGTTTTCCAAGTTTTGTCTGTTCAGTAACAAAAAAAGAAGCTTTGATACAATGAAAAACACGATTAACAGGTTAACTTTCAACTTTGCCTTGAACTTCTTAAATGACTGATTAACTTGCGAACAGACAGTTTATAGAAGAAATGAGGGCTGTAAACAGGACTGCTTACTTCTTTCTTATCACTTAAGTATCTGTTTAATTTATTCATCACTCACACACTGACTGCCTAGAAACAAGGCAGAGTAAAGCATTTCGAACCATGAATTCCACAAAGTTAGGCACTAGACCAGAATCAGGATCAAGGCCAATAAATCACTAAGTCCCGCTTAGGCCCTAAAAACACGGTCTACAGTTCAAGTGGTGCCTATTCCTTGGACAGGCATGCTCCATTAAAATAAGTGGCTTTTGGTGTCCCAAAAACATGACAAACGTGTCTTAACGTGTACTGGATGGGGCCTTTGTATGTCATCATCTAACACTGAGAAGAGACGATGATTCATTCTTAGGAGTTTGCACTGCAGGTCATCTAGAAACAGATATAAAGTCCCTTCCTAGCACAACACTTGTTTAAAAGACCAAGGACCTACTGAGGAGGTACCTCTGCCTTTCGGGCACATTGTTAAGAAGCAACCAGGCAGCCCTGTCCCGTTGAGCTTGGGTAGCTCATCACAGGCCACCACAGGCTTGCCATGCACAGCAAGTGGGAGCAAAGAAAGCAGAGATCGGGCAGTGGGTGCATCCAGCCACCTTTGATTCCTCAGCCCACATAAACAAGTTCTCAGATATCTCTAGATCAGTGAGAAAAGCCCTCAGGGCAAGTCAAGAATAAGGCCCGAATTTAGCATCAAATGCCAAGCATCTGAGCTTCTCCACACACTCAGCCAACATGACTGTCACAGAGCTGATTTGAAAAAAAAATACCTAATGACATCTTCTCAGTCTCCTATGTGAACTAGTACTGCCTTTGACAAAAAAAAATTTCATACGGCAGAGGTTGAACATAAAGTAATATTAGCTCCCAGTAATCTGCTTCAAAGATAGGCCCATTTCTATATTCTCATCTATACAATGAGATGTTACTGAAAAATATGAAGGATTACATAAAGATTAACTCTTGTCATAGGATAAATATGTTACTACGTTATTTGACAGCAAGAAAAAACTGCTGCTTTCTGTCTGTGTAATATGTCAATTGTCCTCAGTGTTAGAACAACCTGCTATATTACAGTGTTGCTCTGTAGCAAAACTGCATTCCATCTCTCTGAAGCTGGCCATGCTAATCAAAAGCTTTCTATTTGCATTTGGCGTGTAGGATGTGAGTCTACTTGGAAAAGAAATTCCTTCTCGTAGTGTAATTCTCTGGTCTGTATAACTATACTTTTGGGCCCTGCTGCTCAGAGCTGAACCCAAGCGTGGTTAAAGTGGAAATATCAGGTGGTGGTCCAACAGGACAGTCTTTGTAAAACTCCTCTTGGTTATATCAGTGATGTTTTAGTATCCTTGGCTACCTCTGCTTGAGCTCTGGCGAGTCTAGAAGAAAACTCAGATGCCAAAGTTCAGTGTGGTGGTGATCACAGCTGTAAAATGGAGAAACAACATTGAAAGTATCTAAGGGGGAAAAAATAGACTACTATCACTGTCAAAAGTTATGGTGTACACTCAATATCCAGGGTGATCTCATGTCACCAAATGGCGTAAGATAATACCAAAGACAGGAGACACATGCTTCTTTAGAAAAGAGGCCAAAAGGACCAGAGCATGAGGATGGCCACAAATAAAGGTGGACATTGACACCTCAAGAGACTGAAGGCCACATATGCCTGCAAAGCCGTGCATAAATCCCACATTAGTAATGATAGAGTTTAAGAACATGAAACGGAATAGCTGTTTCAACATGGTGTTGTGCCTGGGACAATTAGCTCTGCTAAGAGTCAGTGTCTACTGCTTTAGGGATGACATTTTATTAAATCAGCAATAGTCTTGAAGGACCTGAGCTGCTCTGCAGCATAAAGTCGCAGGAGCTCAGTCAGTGGTAGGATGGATATTTCTGCGCTATGTTCGTTGTGCAAAGCAGACATACTATAAGAAGCAGTAAATTGTCTATGCTGACTTTTGACCAGAGAAGAGATCTCCATGGGGGCTACATGACGAAGTCCATTCTGCTCACCACTGCAGCTGCCCCACTTCTTAGGGACCACTTGTTGTTACTGTTGTTGCATTAGATTTGCTGTCCTACAAATACACTCACAGCCCCTGCCTCCAAGATGTTACTGTCTTCGAAGCAGAGCTGCTTGCCTGATGGCTAGCTACAGCTGACTTAATTTCACAACCTTTTAAACACGTGTTTTCAAGTGTTGTGTGATCCTCCTAAAATGTTATGGTAATCTGTTAAATGGCACTGTACAGTTTGGACTCTGAACCTTTTTTGCTAGAATGCGATGTTTCTAAG